GCTAAGAACAGCTGCGGTGATGCTGTAAAGGCCTGCTGGATACTCGGTACTGTACTGCTGGCTGTCCTAAATAAACTAATCTCTAATGGTGGAATTTCAGGCACCTGATTGCGTGAATATTTGGGAGCCGACGAGACTTCCTGGTATACTCCAATCACATAGGAAGAGAAGCTGTTCCTGTGTGAGGCCAACCCTTGGCTGAGACCCAAAGTGAGGCAGGTCTCCTTCGTCACTGCCAACGTCTCGAGCAAGAAGGCTTCATCCACGGACTATGATATTTATTAGGGGCTGTCTGAGGACGTGGTTCTACAAAACAGAGTATAGCTATTTTGTCTGTCATTGCCAGAATTTATAAAAGGCCTATCTAGCTTACACCAAGCTTTCCCACTTCAGCTGCCAACATGGCACGCAAGGGCTGTAAGAATTCAGAGTATCTGATGGCCCGCCATGCCTCCAGCTGGCCTGGCCCTCACTGGCTCACGAACAATGCTGTTCTGACAGCAGGGAGAAGAACCCCCATAAAGCTGTCTTCGAACACTAGCTCCTAGCAGCTGCAGTTTGAATTCAGAGAGCCTTGGAAATCAGTTTTAACCTGTGACAGAAAAGGAGCCACATGAGAATGTCTGTCTTGAAATGATGGCTCCTTCGAGGAGTTTTGAGGCTTTGGAAACAATAATGAATATTTACACTGACTGAAGAAACTGGTCATTACTTACATCCATTTTTCACATTAGAATCATTGTAACATTTTGCTTGGAAAAAAAAAAAAAGACTTTCCAACTGTTAAAAATACTTCCAGCCCAATGTTCTCTGCTCCGTTTAGGATAAGCGTATTCCTTGCTCAGTTTACCAGATTAGATCTCCAAATAGGGTCTGTCACTGGTTTGAAGAGTAATGTCTGACTGAGGAAAAAAAGAAAAAAAAAAAAGATTCCTTATCTTTTTCTTGAAAATTATGGAAAAGATCATTTCCACTTTATTTTCTAAGCATTCTTAGGTGCATATATACTGAAATTGTTGGATAGCACTTAAAAAGCCATCTCTTCCATAGATGCCTCTTCTTTCCCAATTTACCTTTTCTCTCACTGTGCACTAGAGAAAACCAGATGTTCCTAGGTGACTGAAACAAGGTAGCCTACAGCGTGATGGGTATGAATGAGTTAAAGTCCCTCGACTGCTTCTGTCAAGGGTCTGCTTCTTGGGGTCACACATGAGCCTCTGGTTTCACTTCAGAGACCAATCCGAGAATAATTTTTGTAGTCAAAGAGAGCATAATCTCAACATGGCCCTCAGCGTAGCATGTGGTGAGCCCAAACTTCTCCAAGGCATCATGAAAAGAAGATATACCCCATGCTAAGTGCCCTGAGGTTGCAAATGACTCAAGGCTATTTAGTAGTTAACAATTAGTAAATTCTATCTGGGAAATACCAGTTAGTCTTCACTAGTTAGAGGTAGGAAAGTTGGATAGATCTTCTTACACACAGCACTGCTGAAGGGGGGTATATTACACTGAGAGCAAATCTCCGATCCAGTTCTGACATCCATACAAGCCTTGGCAAGCAAGCACAACACCAATCACAGCCTATTCTGTAAGCTCAGTGAAGTAGCAGCTGTCTGTCTTTGTAAGCACTCCCATAAATATCATGTCTGAAAGATTCAGTCAGGGCAAAAATCCAAGAGGTGAAATCCTGTCTCAGTAGCCATGTGTGAGACAAGTTAGAGTCCTAAGCCAAAATTGCCTTTCTTCAGGGTCTGGATTCTCACGGTACCTGTATGACACTTTTGGGCAATCCACCTACCTTAGGTGACACTCATTTTGCCAATGGAGAATTATCTCTAACACCCATTATGCTCAGATTAACTAGAGATAAAGTCTTTGATGTCCATTGGAGATCGCTGAAGTTCTTGTGACTGCCTCTCTAAGGTAGACCTTTGATCAAGAATCTTTCAGATGTTTATGAATCTCTCATGGGGTCTGTACTCCAGATTGGAGCACATCAATTGTAAAGCAATTGCCCCTACATGTAGAGTCAAAAATATAAATCACATGTTCTACATGAACTATGTAAGATATATTATGGATGATATAAAAGATGGTTTAGAAAGTCACAGAACCATCAGACCAGATAAAGCCAGCCATAACTGAATAAGTCAAACAGAGAGAGCAAACATTTTATGGTCCAATATTTAGGACCCATATTTAGGTCCATATTTATAAAAAATAAACAGTCCAGGAAGATGAGTTAG